ACGTGTGTTTACGCATGTGGCGCGCGGCGCGGCGGCGCTGGTCGCGCTGCCGGCGCGGCGTGTCATGACACGCCTGACACGGTGTCTATTTGCGGCGGCGGAGGCGGCGGCTGGCGGCCGTCGTGGGAATTGAACGGACGCTCTGTTCTGGAGTAGCTGACCGCGGACTGGTGAAGTTTGTATGAGGTCATCACTGGAGCTGACGGTGACCGAATTAAAGAGCGCGTTTGTCCCGATCGATACCTGGGCATTGATTCAGTGTTTTTTTCTGGTCGCCTATGACCACCTTGGAAGGAGAGGGCCAGTCGAAACAAGTGCACACGTGCAAGTTCACCGCCGGTAATTTCGGGATGACGGACGGAGGTCCTTGAATGCCCATCTTTTCATGCATCACTTTATTTGTACTGTTGAATTTGAAATGAATGGGGGGGTCCCCTGTGCTCAATTCCCACGTGCCTTCCCCTCAGCGCCGTCACTGCTTGCATCGGTGGCAAATCCATGCATGCCCTCGCACCTATCAGCAATCTCGAGAGCTAAGGTGATGGGCTGGAGCCGCGCGAGGGCATCGTCCGAACATTGGAGCCCACACCCACGCACGCTTACCGTGTGAAAGCGGCGGCCTCGGAGCGCTTCGCCAGCCAGCTCCGACAACGGTGTCGCCGCCCGTCTGTCCACCTCCCAATCAACACCCGCTTCTCAACTGAGCGGCCAATCAGCGCCCTTTTGAACGGTGGACGCGGCCGGCGCCGACTCGCCGGCCAGCCGGCCCGCTCTGACTTGCCCAATCTCCTGAATAGAAGCCGAAACGCTTGGCAAACCTCGTGATCATGTACGAAGCGCACTGTCATGCATGCTCGGCACACACGCCGCCCGCTAAGCCTTCTTTGATTGCAGGCTTGGCATGCAGCGCACCCCCGCTTTCCACAAAGGGACTGCGGGACAGCGGGCGGCTGGGGCTTTCTCGGAAGTTCGCATTGTGCCGCGCCGCTGCCCATTACCCGCCTCAGCGTCTGGTGGCGGTTCAGTGCTGGCGTTGCGTCTGTTTGCTCCTGGAGCCATGGTGTAAGTTGCGTGCATTGCGTGATGCCCAGCAACCTGTTTGCGTTACTGGGCACTCTGTACACTGTATGGTGCAGTTTGTGTACTTCAGCAAGCTCGTAGACCAGCGTTTCGTCAGTCCTCTGCCGCCCTGGGCCACAATCACTCTGGGGCTCCTCGGTCAACATGGGACAGCTTCAACAAGTCATGCACTGGTAGTTGCCAGTTGAGGTGATCACTGAAATCCCGATGCTCCTACGGAGGCGAGGACAGTTGTTTCACCGGCTGTTATTGGTTCCATAGATTTCCGTGATGGGCGCCGGTATAGCCAAGCGTCAGAGAGTATCTGCCCGTCATCCGTCTCAAAGTTGAATTGTCGTAGGTTGGAGGCGCCTGGCGGTCTTGCTTCTGACCCTCCCTCCAGCCGACGATTGGGAGCAAGACACCAATCAGTGTCGCACTATCAATACCAGCAATAGTGGATAGTAGCGCTAAACGTACCAGTAATAATGGAAACAATCGGAACACTGTTCGATCGTCTTTCCACAAAAGTTCTTAAAAACGTGGCCATGGTGAGGCTGAGCTTAACGACTGCTTCGCCCTCCCCCCCCCCCCCCCGCCGGCAGTAACGTACCCATAACTCTGGTTTAGGCAGACGAGGGGGGCAATGGAGCAAAACGAAAAAGAGCGAAAAACGGATACTCCCTCTAGAACGAAAAACGGATACTTCGCCTCCTTGCGTTGGTCTGCTGGTAAACGGTATAATAGCTGGAACATTCCCACCAAGATTCGACGCTGGATCCGTCTTAGCTGAGATTGTGTGTGACTGGGCGCGTTCTCCTCACATTTCCAGTCCTTCTGGACCGAGGGGATGACTGGACAAGGCTGAAGCTGCGGCGGAATGGCCGCCAAATATTGCGACGATGACGCTGTGAGTCATTGCGGCGCGCACCAGCCGTAAAACGACTAGTGCTCATTTAGTGGCCCAAACTTCGCTGCATAAACCGGCGATAGTCGCTGAGGTTAGCTGTAAATGTACTTTTATATGTCGCGCGGCCGGGAACTTTAAGCTACAAAATTTAACGCGGTGGTTTGGCGACGTTTTCAAGCCTCCATACAAACTTTAAGGCGTTATTGACCCATGCGCGCGTAGTTTTACTGTCCAGTTGAGGTCCTGGGGTTTAAAGGAGGGCGCGATGCTTTGCAGGCAAAGTGCTCGCGTTGGCCTCCATAACCGGCGCCACTGAGGAAATGTGCGTTGCAGCAATCAGGGCTTGGGTTCACCGCTGATCGATTAGCTGCACCCAGCTGGTGCGGATGTCTTCTTTTCTTTTTGACTGGTGTAGTACCATAGCTGTTACTTGAACGATGTGTTTGCTGGGCGAGGCCAAGATAGCGTGCGTCAGAAGATGGAGCTCAGCAGAAACTGACAAATGCGGGAATCGAGCAGCGGCGTCTGTCCAAAGGGCCTCTGCGGGGGGAGGGGGGAGGACTTGTCAGAAGCTGGAGCTCAGCAGAAGCTAACAAATGCTGGAGTTGAGCAGCGGCGTCTGTCAGGATCTCGCAATCAATTTTATAATTGCACACAGCAATAGCATGACCTGGAGATCATTCTTACTATTACGATGCGTAAGAGGTTATGACACATTAGTAGTTGTGACACATTAGGTGTTTCGAACATTAGGTGTCATGGTACATCAGTGGCTGCGAACATTAGGTGTTGCGATAATCCCCCGAAATGATGGGTAGTCCTAGTCACTTTCGCCCGAACCGGACCGTTCCTACCGATTTTACACAGCTACGTGGCTACGTACACACAGACGGCCAGCTACGTACACACAGCTACGTACACAGCCTTGCGTATTGTTCAGACCGCTTGATATTTGAACGATAATCACTCACTGGCACAATAGTCAGCAGGAAATTGGCCAGAGATATAGTCATTCCGTATATTTGGAATGATTTTGAGCCGTATGGATCCACAGATTGACTGGCGTATCAAGAAAGCTTTCGCTCTTATCTGAAAATAGCAAATAGTATGCCTGCGAAGATGCGTAATACGCCACTTCCTCAGAAGGAATACCAAGCATCACATACCTAGGTGTGTTCAAATACCTGTAAATATGCCTGGGATTGCTGCTTCTTGTCAAACACATAAGAGTTTCAAAAGTGCGAGGTGTGTGGTAAAATGGTCATGGCAGGTGAAGCGGTGATACGTTATCCAAAACTCGCATTCGCTGCATCGAAAAGGCATCGGCTTCCAAAAATTTCCTAGTGTTTAATTTTTAAGAGCGACCAGGAACTGCTGATTCCCTTCCAAAACACATAATTTTTCAACATGAACAGCATGCTCTCAATAATTGTAGTTTTCAACCCTTGCTCCTTGTCTTCGGTCCTACCGCTATGACCTGGACACTGGCATGAGGACATTGCCACTGCGACGGGATCATCCGCCATAGAGCCCTGGCAAAGGACAAAATTACACATGATTACCTGTCTAAAGCAAACAATCTTGACAAGTGAATGAGGCCGGTGTGTAGCACCTTTCTGCATAAATAATTCTGAAAAACATTTTGGTAACAGCAATGGCATTGAAAGGATTGTATATCATCCCAGAGGACGAACGAAACAAGCTTGAACTATATCTCAAGAACAAAATGTATGCCATTTTTCTTAAATAGAGATGTTTCGACACAGCCCAGGCAGAACAAAGGATTGAATGCCCTGTTCAGCTTTTCGCTTCTGGCTCAGCTATGCCTACAGCTAAGCTGAGGGGTATCATGAGGGTCAGCTATCTTGATATCCACAGACGTGCCGCGCAGAATCCTTTGTAGCCGGTGCTCAAGGTACAGCAGGTTTTGTCTGCAGGGTCTCAAAAACTTGTTTTATGTTTAAAAATCGGGAATTCCAAAAGCTTTACAGTTGCAGCCTGCCTGGATTAGGTTGAAAATTCAAGTCACCAAAAAATGTCGCTTCAAGTCCAGGCGGCGTTAAATTTCCGTGATGCTGTCATTTTTAAAGTTAATTATTTAGCTCACCCTGCCCAGCACCATGGGTCAAGTCCACCACATATTTGAGTGTTCTGATAAGCGGCATTCGTATCTTCCAAAGAGTTTGTTTAACCCAAACTGTTATCAGTCACCACCCGGAAAAAACAATGTCCTGACAGCGTTACACTGTGTGATACATGCACAGATGCAGAAGCTTTCTTCGGATTTGGTTTTAAAAAGTTGTTTTCGGTGCGCTTAATCCAGATACAGATGGGAGGAAAGGGTCATAAAGGTCACAGGACCTCCCTGAGACAACACTGACGAAAAAATAAGGTGGGTCCAGCGAATAGAACATATTTCGGAATGGCGCGAAACCCCGTTATACGACCCAAGAAAAAAATCGGTCCACCTTGGCGAATTCTTGGATCAATATCTGACTTCACCTTTTCAGCGATCCAACTGTCTCATCTAGTCCAGCCACTTTTCATTGGCATTCCCATCGTGGTGAGCCTCAATCGACCACGCGACCACAACTTACAGCTGCATCTGAGCACGGCCTTGTGAAGCCCTGGGTTCTATGTTCATTGTAGCGTGCTGCGAACACAACTTCCGGCAGCTTCCAACCGACGTCCCGTTAGGCAGCCTGAGCGCCTCATTAACCCGCCGCTGACTGTGCCGACCCGTCCCTGGGCGCTGTCTGACCCGACCCGCGGGACCAGGTTGACCTGACGCTGCCGCCGGCGGCCGCCGTGTCGGCGCATGTCCTCCATGTTTTCCGCTCATCTGTTGGCCACCGACAAATGGGACCATGCCGCGACCAGACGAACACGCATCGGCCGGCTCCCGATCGATAGCGGGGCGGAGCCTGCACGCGACCAATCAGCGAGCGGCGGGGTGGAGCCTGCGCCGGCCGGCCGGCTGGCTCCGCCCCCCGCTGGCCGGCCGCGGCGTCAGTGCGGCGCCGCACCACAAACGGCAGCCAGCGGCGGGACGGTGTTCCGGCCCGGGTTTCGTGTCCGCTCGTCGAACAGCAGTTGAACACGCCGGACATGGGCCATCTTGATGGTATGCTAATGGGCTGTTAGCGGACGGCACGGTGGACAGTGCAGCGCGTGGACTCGGCGGCAGCGGCGGTGGGTGGACAGTGCGGAGGAGTGGTCGGCGCGGAGGAACGCGAGGACACTGCGGACGTGACGCGTGCGCGCGCTGCGGGGACGATGTCTGTGTATCCTGGTCTCGGGTCGGCGCCGCAGGTGAGTCACCAGTCGCCTGTTAGCGCAAGTCTGACGTCACTGCCGGACGGTGGACGCTCCTCGCTACCGCACGCTATTGTGCTGCCGCGTTTTTGCTTTCTAAGCCTGCTGTCACCCTTTCCCGAACTCTAACAATTTGACAACGCACATCAACCGCAGACAGTGAACTTTCCGCTCCCGGATTACGCGCGTGCCTCCCACCATCCCACGCCGCCCACCACCCGCTGCGCCTGCCTCCCCTTCCACGCCGTCCAGACCTGCCGCGCGGCCACGCAGTTCCACCGAGCCAGCGTTCCCCCGCCGCCGCAGCCGGCCACGCGCGCCATCAATAACCCGGTCCGCCCGGCCGCCGCCGCCGTCGCCGACGTCGGGGCCGCATCGGCCGACGCCGTTCCAGCCATCATCGGCGGCGACGGCTCGGCCGTAAACGGGCCGTTCGCCGGGCATTGGCGGCCGGCGGCGCCGTAAGTGCCGAAAGGATGTTGAGCCCGGCTCCCGGTGGCTCCCGGCCGCTTCTGGTGGCTCCCGGCGGCTCCCGGCGGCTCCCTGGTGGCTCCCTGGGCACCCGGCGTCCCGGCAGCTCCCTGTGCATCTGGGACCCGGAGCTCCTGACAGCCAGCTGGATACCCGGTACGTCAGGAGCTGCCGGAGGCCAGGAGGCCGCCGGGAAGCCCCGGTGAGAGTGAACAATACTGCGGAGCCCTGTTGACCGACGCTGCTGGCTGTGTTGTCACTCGTTTTATTAATCGGGCAGTAGCTGAAGCCAGTCGATGCAGCTTATGACGGGATTCAGACAGGAAACATTCAGACTGGAGTGGGGGTCAGGGGTGGCGGTACTCCGAACGTTTTGAGAGCATGCCACAGCTGAAAAATCCCTGAAAACTATGTAATGTTCAGACATTCCTTCAAAGCACCTAAAAAGCTTGCACATTTCAAGTTGGCGCCAGCTTCAGAGATGAGGCCAGACGTGCTTACATGCAAACATCTATGGACAGAAAGTGGCGCATGTCGACAAGTTGGAAAAAGCAATTGTCCGCGGCTTCAAACTAAAACGGTACCCACGGAATGCAGTTGCAAGAACAAGGGGAGATTCAAAATTAGATTTCCACCCCTTCTTCTCACTGCCCCAGTGGTTTCTAGACCGACCTCAAAACTCCTCGCAACACCGTTACCATATGAACGCCACCTTTACCCACTGGGCGTGACCCCGCACAGTGAGTGCTTCGACGGACTCAGCCTCTCCACCACAGACCGCGCCGTATCCGAGCACTTCTGAGCTAAGCCCTCGCGAGGGGTGAGTCAACAGCTCGGCCTCAGCCCCTGTCGAGCGGCCGGCCGGCTGTAGCGAGCACGCGGGGCCGGACGCGCTGCGCCCGCTCATATCAGAAGGGGAATTGAATGTGAGCTTTGGTGTTGGAACTGATAACTGTCGACACGTCGTTGTGACTCGACGAAGGGAAAATTATCCCGGAAGCACGCACATGATAAGTTACATGAGCCGCTTTGAACTTACAACATGCCCGCTTTCTTAATATCACCTGCTTGTAACGATAGCGACATTTGTGCACCGAGCAGGTGCTTTGTTGTCATTATGGTCGTGTGCCATTCCGTTGCAGAGAGATAAGCCAAAGTTCATGAGCTTAAATTGATGATTTCGCCGGTGTCCAATAATTGGGGTGTTACGAATGGAATGCGTTTGAACTATCTTCCTCGTCTGGCGTGTTAGTTTGTACACGACACATAAGGGCTGACAGGCAAGCACTATCCAGTCCTTCTCAGGACTTCATAACACTTGAGGACGCCGAAGGGTCAACTGGCCGAAACGTTGTGTGCAGACTAACGCACCAGACAAGGACGGTAGTCCGAACAGTTATTCCATCCGTAACACTAATATCTTGTTTCAATCCTTTTGTAAAACTGTAGTTTTGGTTTTGCTCAGAGGCTTTTTTCAGTCATCACGATTTCCGAATTAATCATGACCCAACTTGGCATTGAAGTGTGTGGAAATATCCTCGGGCAAAAATCATCAAACATTTGAATATTTATGGACATCCGAGCAAGATTCAGATGTTTACCGAATGTGAACAGTTGTACAAACCTCGTAATGTTCCAAAGCTGAATCTTCAGCTCCAGTACGTCCCTGTATGCACCTATATATTTTCCTTCAAAGTGGAATGCAGAGTCGTCAAAAAACCTGGGAACTGAGCTGTAAAGCCCGACTCACACAGATGGCACAAATATAACCAGCGGAATGCAGATAACGTAAAACAGTGAGCCAGACAACTGACCACGGCTGGTCATAAGGTTTATAGACGGCATGCCATTTTGTAAACGGTCGTAATAAAACACGAAACGAACGCTGCCCTGACTGATCTCGAACCAGGCTAGTACCTGCACCAAAGCGCAGTGCACCAATCACAAACAAAATCGGAACACATCGTCACTTAAAAGATCGGCGGTGTGCTATTCCCACTGCAGTCCGTGCAGCAGGTTGGGAAAGCCGACGCACAATGCGGCGCACATGGTAGCCACAACCTGATGCGCGGCCGATATCTTGAGCAGCAGCGCATTACAGCATGAGCGGGAAAGGTCGGTCCGGCAAAAGTTCACTCGAAATAAACACAAGATTGTGATCAGAGGGGAATTACGAGTTCCCGTGTTTAGAAAAGCTGACACTCTCAGCACACCGTGACTTTGAACACACATGCAACGGTCAGACTGCTCATAACATTTAGCTCAAGCTCATAAAATTAAGCTCAAGCTCGTAACATTTACCGGTGACTGCTCGATATTATCGTTTGACCAGAACCCCTGGTGTACTGAATATCTGTTATCTTTAACATAGCAGCTCATGATGCCGAAAATCCTGCGGCTGAACGTATTTCTGCCTGAAATCAAGATAAGAGAGGGATCACATTCCTGCTCGTTCCCTGTTTAATGTTTCTGGTCTTCGCAAAGAGCAGCATTTGGGCAATTTTCAAGAACTCTGGCAGTAAGCAAAGCAAGAAGCATAGGTATCCACTTGCAGTGGCCTGAGGCAATTCTATCAGCTTTGCGGTTGTCTGAATCAGTATTACCACACCGGTCTGGTAAACAATTGATATTTGACAATCCAAGAACGACATGGAATGATAGCGTTGCTACTGAAGGGGAAACTGAGCACATGGGCTGAACAAAACTGACTTCTCAACTTCTTGCTCCCTTCTCCACATCGCTTAATCTCATAGCCATGCTGATTAAAAGGCTTGAGAACCCATCAAACCCGATGAAATAACGCTCTTGGTGTGCGTGCGTGAGACCTATGAGCCAGCATCAGAGGAGTGCAGTTTTAAAGGAGATGGTATCTCTAAATGCTCCCCGCCCTTCCCCCTTAAGCATAATGAATGTGTGGCATTACTTCGCCGCAGAGAAGGTTGATAGTCTGCTTATGTGCGTTACAGCAGTGTGTTTGGCACCCGCGCGGCTTCAAATAAAAGCGCGAAAGCACAGCCGGCATGAGTGAAAGTCAGGTGGAACGGCTCATCGTCGAGATCTAGTGCAGGCACCGCCTGCGTCTCCACCTTTAATTTCTGTGCTAATTTAGATACTAATTTGTTTCCCGCGTAGACATCTTTCACGTACCCGTACAGACAAAGCGCACACAGTATGCAAACCCAGCGCTGACATGCATAAGCGCCAGGCGTCCGGCGCAGCAGTGGGTGACGCACCGCGGGGTGGAGATTGATCAAATGCCATGCTCAAGCCGGGCTGACGGGACTTATCAGGTGAACTCAAGGGAACATCGTTGTCAGAGGCAGGCGATGCGAACTGGGCAACAGGCTCCCGCAGTCAGGCCAAGCAAAGAAAATAAAGACGCTCGTGTGATCTCGTGCCACGTTACGTTCTCGTGAATGATGGCTTCCAGAATCAATCATGGAATTTGGTCGGGTTGGCCTCCACAAATAATTACAGATCTAGAGAATGTCCAACAAGCTGAGCCCAAGCTTCAGATTTAAACATGTGTGTTTGCGTTGCCCTAGCGTGCCAATCAGCGGTCAGATAACAGATTTGCAAGTGTGCTCCCTGTTCCCCTCCCTCCTCCTCTCCTTCTTCAAGGCTCGCATTTTCGACGCCTGTTTGGCAAGCTGCTCCAGAAGCTATACTCTTGCGTAGTTCACTACACATCCCAAACTCGAAGCGAGTGCACGGGCAATGGTGAGGTGTACGTCGCTCTTTGCGTCTCCGGTAATTGAGAGATAACCACGACTTAATGTGTCTGAAGCGTACAGAGGGGGAATATCCAGTACAAGCACAGCCATCAGACGCAAGCTAGCCCAGCGGTTATAGCGAGCCACTTCAGCGAAAATCACTAAAGAACACAGTGCTAACAGCTTCTACGCCTCTTATATGCAAGTTAACAGATGTGACACGAGCGTGGAAGAGATACCACGAACAGTACAGAACAGGCATGGTTCAGTGTACGAGCTGCGATCAGTCCTCCTATCAGCTGTTCTCCTTACACATTACCTCGCTCCGTGTACAGACAGCAACTCGTTTCCAGTTGCATTTCAACGCACCATTCCTCCTCGCCCAGCCGGCGCGTTTCAGCAGCGCCGCCGAGCCTCAGTGCCTGGCAGCCCGTCCTCAGGCCCTCCAGCGACGCCCTGCCTGCCCAGCTTCTAACCCACAACCAACTGTTTACCCAGCCAATAACCGTGTCCGTCATCTGCGCTGGTAGAGAAGCCCCGTGCATGGGAATCTGTATTTGGTTGTTAATGGCGGCGTTTGTGCGTTTGCTGATGGATATATTCTGGCGCAATATCAGGTCTAGCGACCGATTGCTGTAGCAAAAGCGTGCTGTTTGGTATTCTTCCTTCTGATAAAATTGAATCACATGCTGCTTAACGATGAAACGTTACAGAATAATGCAGGCGGGTAGCTTTCCATGTGAGCCGTCCATGCTATGTTCATGCTGTCAAACCGATAAAGTCATCTCGGACACAATGTGCCATGCGTTTTTGCTAGACTATTCACACAAAAAGTTTTGTGGTCCCGTTTCCCGGAAAATTTTAAATGGCTTCTATGAATGTTTCGAGCCTTTGGCATCTGTTCCCTGAATATGCTTCTCACCATGGCGCAGGCAGCCCACACGCTGTTTCCTGCAGGAGCGCTCGGCGACGGCTGCGACCGCCAGCATCCCTGGCCGTCAAACTCACATAGACCACCTACTCCCCACCGCAGACACCATCAGCGACGTCTCACCAGCATCTTTGGCCGTTACACTCACACAGCCCACCTACTCCCCACCGCAGACACCATCAGCGACGTCTCACCAGCATCTTTGGCCGTTACACTCACACAGCCCACCTACTCCCCACCGCAGACACCATCAGCGACGTCCTCACCAGCATCTTTGGTCGTTACACTCACACAGCCCACCTACTCCCCACCGCAGACACCATCAGCGACGTCTCACCAGCATCTTTGGTCGTTACACTCACACAGCCCACCTACTCCCCACCGCAGACACCATCAGCGACGTCTCACCAGCATCCTTGGCCGTTACACTCACACAGACCACCTACTCCCCACCACAGACACCATCAGCGACGTCTCACCAGCATCCTTGGTCGTTACACTCACACAGACCACCTACTCCCCACCACAGACACCATCAGTGACGTCTCACCAGCATCCTTGAGCGTGCTACTGACCACGACACACCATGACCACCCTGCTCTCCCCCGCCGCAGGTGCTGCCGGCGACGCCTCCGACCACCAGCAGCTCGCCGAGTTCGCCGTGCTGCACGACGGGCCGGCCGATCCTGGCCGACCCGATCTCAGGTCACACGGTGTGCTCTTGCCAGCTGGACCCGGCGCGCGTGCTCAGCTACCCGCGCCTCAGCACCGCCGGCTACCCCTTCTCCGAGCAGGGCTACGTCGGCCTGCCCGACCCGGCCGCCGCCACCGCCGCGCTCTACGCCAACCTGGTCAGTGACTGCAGGACCGCTCATCCCTTTCGCGTCTTTTTCTTTGTGTGTGTATCACATGGGGAACATTTCCCATTCCCCATTCCCCTGTCCCCAACATTATAACTCACATTCCCCCACAACAGCCGGAGGCTTGACCGCGTCTTTTCCAGGGGTGGTTTCTTGAAGGTGGGATACGGAAGATTCAAATGTTTTGCATTGATTTCTTTGCTGAGGTCTTGGACTAGTGCGCCTTGCTAGCTGTTAGAGGCTTGGGAAAGTTTAAACAATTCCTGGTGTTTAGATGCAAATCGTGAAGTTCACGAGACGAACGAACCATTATCTGTATGCACAATTTTCACGGTTGTTTGCTTCCTACCTCACTTTGGGAGCAATGCAATTTTTCCGGATCATTGCGAGCGCCGTGTTATACGAGCGGCATCTCCTCTGGAAAGAGCTTCACTACGGTCTCAACTAGCGGCTTACGTAGATGAATTGACATGGCTGGCAATGTAAGCTGAGAAGGCTTCCGAGGAACGTCGGGAAATGGAGAGACAATCTGAGGAGTGCATACAAATAAGAGACAGCTTCCAACCTTAAGTGACCTCAGATGTCATGGTGAGGACCGCTTAAATCTACAGCAAGTATGCAGGCAAAATACCGCAAACATGATCGCCGTTTGCTTTTTGCTGTTGCAAATGCTTGCTCAACACTTGCCCTACACGAAACAATCTTCTCTCTAAAACGCCAGAGCTGCCTGAAGGCAGTTGGACACGCGTAATTAGGGTGTTTGGCTCATCCGAACCGAAATCAAACCACAACTATGCTACCAATGGGACAACACCAGCTGCGATCTGTGGCCTCACGGAATGCAATCTCAAGCAGGCGCATAATCCCGCTTCATACAGGCAGCTAAGGGGTGCTGACGATGGATACAAGACGTGGCCGTTCATGTCTGTTGTACTTCTTGCTGGTAGCATACGTGCCACCTGCATTAATCATGGCCTCCCACGGCCGCTCCGGACATCTGTCTTGCATCGGATCGTGTCGTGTCACTCTGGCAACAGCTGGCGGAGAGGCATGCGACCTTATCGGCTAAGCTCCATGTTATCAAAGTGCATGACATTTCTCTGGCTTCTTGTGGGTCGTCAAGTGCTGCATTGTAACCGCAAGCTGGTCCCTTAGACGCATTTGCTGGCGTAGAACAATCGCAGGACACGGACCAGCCATCTTGTTTGTCAGGAGCAGAGCCTCAATAGATTCGTTCGTGGGGTTGAAGACCAGTCTTTGCTGCAATGTATCTGAGCAATTGAACAACAGGTATCCCTGTATAAAACAGAAATATAACCACATATAACAAATGCAAATCGTCATATATGAGGATTTCGCAGAATTTACTGCCTTCAGCGTTTTCTGGTTATTTTGGGCTTTATGTTAGGGGATAAGACGAGCATTGTGTAGTGTCAAAACAACATAAAGAGCTGCCAAGCTTCGCCCATACCAGCAATGTCTTACTTTGCTCTCAGTTGACAAACTTAGGGATTATATTGACGTGTTGACGTCTTAGGGATTATCGTGACGCGATTATCTTGACGTGATACTACCAACCAACGTACGTGTGCGCAATGCTGGAAATATGTCGCTTGCACGATGGGTGTATGAGATTCGGAGTGTGGCTATAGTTTCTATGAGTGTCCATGCGTCCATGTAGTTTCTATGTCACAGATGGCTACAAATGCACAAACTACAGCCGGCCATTTTTGAATGACACCACTTTGTCACATGTATTTTCAGGGTTGTTTCCTTTCGAGATCTAGCCGCGTGATACGTGGAACAGCCTGCACTGCCAGGAGCATAAATAACAAACAATATGCTCGCAGGTGCTTGACGACATGTATACATTACATATTACATACATTACATTATACATATTGGCGGAGCATCCACGGCATACACCCACACTGCCACACGCTCACATCGCACTTTTCGAGGACTCATTTTATCCCGTGGTGGAAATAGTTTGCTGAACGTGTGTTTTCTTTGCTTGTAAGCTGTAGAAATGCGGGACCATGGGCGCTGCATGAGTTATTGCATAAAAAGATCAACAAAGCTAACGAAGATTGGGCTTGTATGCCCATTACAAGTTGACAGGTATTGATGCCTCATCCCAATCAACACTGTGTCGATTTGTAACACAGTTTGACTTATGATTACGGCAGTTATTTATGTCTGCTCGTAGGCACACGCCAGGTGTCATATATCGCACATCACTGACGCGTATACGATCATGGCAGGTATAGCACGGACACGTGAACACGTCCATGGGGCCACGTGTCGGTAAGACATTGAATAAGACATTGTCTGTGAATCAGACATTGTCTGACACGAATGATTGTAATCGGCATCAAACCCCAAAGACACCGATCGCACAACAGGGGCGTAGTCACTGCAGAGTTGAGGGAAGAGGGTGTGAGCGTTGAGCTATCTTTAAATGAGCAAAGTTCCCTAAAAGAGGCTCATCGCCGAGGTTTGCGTTTCTCCCGCTCAGCAGCAAAAGGGAAGTCTGGAGAGAGTGTTTGCAATTGGGTGTACTGTTTCGAGACTTCAGCAAATACATCTAGTCCTAACCAAAGCTGACTGTTTCGGGCGGATAGTGAAAAATAGCCCTCTTCATCAGTCAAACCATTGCCATCCGCCCAAAATTTCCCTTTACCGTTATGTATGCGTTTAGGCCTCACACCCTCGCACACGAAGCCACAAAAGCAAACTTAAAGGCGGTGCAGGTATAATGATGCATGTGTTTTTGAAGCTGTTGCGTGCTTTGGATTATTCAAACGAAATTATGTATTCATTTCTGTACGCGGGCATATAAAATTGTGTAAAATGGAGTGAACAACATTCTTAGCATATCTACCAGCTCTGTACACCCATTTAGGTCATATTGATATGGCGTTGGCCCACGGGATCCTGAGTTTCTGGCTTCAACATAGGTTTTCCATCCTTGGCTTGCAAGGCTTCCTTTTCTTGACTTCCAAAGCTTATTCAAACGCCATCAAGTCACATCATTTTGGTCTTATATCAAGCGACGCTAAGTAACATCCAGTACCAAAGTGAGTGCGAAGGAAGATGTTAATTTTCTTCGTTCCGATTGGTCGGCTTTTTTAATGCCATTAGTGCTGTCAGAATTTAAGCGAGAGCATAAACTTTAACCATTCTTTGAAAATTAGATTGCTGCACGAATCCAAACGTGTTCAAATTAAAAATGGCCGACGCTGGTGGGTTCTGATACTCCGACCAGTGTATCCAAATAGCAAAGAAGAAACACATGCAGAACATGCCCCACAGTCTCCCGTCACACCATGCAGGGGCCAAACATCACGTCACAACTGCTGAGCGACCGATCCTAGTCCACTCTTTCCCTCCCCATCCCCCGGCCCTGGAGGCGCCTCTGCGCGGGCGGCGCGGACGTAACGTCCGCCTCCAGTCTGCTCTCTCCCATCCCCCGGCCCTGGAGGCGCCTCTGCGCGGGCGGCGCGGACGCAACGCCCGCCTCCAGTCCGCTCTCTCCCATCCTCCGGCCCTGGACGCGCCTCTGCCACGCGGCTGGACGCAGCGCATGTAGCACTGCCGTGCTGCGTGCGGCGCGGTCCGGCAGTGCGTGCGGCGCGGAATTCCGGTCTGGGGCGGCCGGAGCTCCGCACGCACGCCGTCACGCTGGCGCCGCAGGGCAGGGCGCGCGCACGCCCCGGCTGGGGGAGGCACGCGGCCCGCCGCCGCCCGCTCACCGAGCCGGCATCGCTGTGGGGATGTTCGTGGGGAAATTGGGACAGACGTGACGCAGAAGTCAAAGAATCAGTTTGGAGGGTGCATTGGGTGTCAAAAGCAGGGATAGCCACAGAAGTGGGGAGGTCAACCGGTCCGTGCGCTTCGCTCGGTTCAGTGATGTGGGACCCTGAGGGCAGCTGGGGAAAGGACGGAAAATGGACGCCCTGTTGGCACCTAATTTCACATTTCTCGCTATGACGCACAGAGATTTAACAGGATACCTTAAGAAAAGGAAATATAAACATAATGAAGCTCTGTTCCTACTGCTCCCTAATGACGCAGGATAAGGCCTCCCTGTCAGGTCTCCCCTGCCATCGAGCTTTCCCTGTGCGGAAAAGCTCAATCGCTGTTTTCCTTCGCGGTCACGTGAAAGCGAAAGTAACGCTGAGATTCGTGGTAGCGAAGCTGGGCTGAAGACGTGTGGTTCGGTTCTCTGAACTTCCTCCCACGAAGTGCTAAATGGGAGATTACCTCCGAAAGTTCGTACTAGATACGTCATGAAAACCACACCCCCCAGGGAAACCACACTCCAAACTTAAACACCCCAAGGGAACACATTCGTACGCTGCCCATGGCCCAAAGCTTCGCTTTTTCCGTGTTCTTTCCTTTTCTGTGCTCTGTCTTGTGTTCTAGGCTCCTCCCAACCGGTTTCAGCGCCTCTGAGAGCTGCTAACTCGATTAAACACCACACTTACCGCAGCGTTTACGTCCCTGATTTGGACAATCTGCCATGACCTTCCAGACTTGGACATTCCCCACCGCACGTCAAGTGAACCCCTTCTTAGAGCCTCCGAAGCACCACCAGCTCGCGAGCCCCTGCCTCCTCTGCTCCCACACCCGTCAGCCTGCTTCACGGCTGCCACGCGCCGGCCGGCCTGGTGCCCCCGGCGGCCGACCGCTCGGGCGGAGTGGGGCGGGACGGGGCGCTACCCGAAGCAGTCTGTCGTCACTGGGCCGGCCGGCAGCCAACACTGGCCGCTCTCAGCGGCGGCGGCGGCGGCGGCGACGGCGGCGGCAGCCGGCTGCTTCACTCGTCGCCTGCCTGGCCGGCCGACCACGGACCACACACCCACACAGGCACCGCCGGCAGGGGCCCGCGCGCCCCGCCGCCCAGGGAGGTGGCGGTGGAGTCGGGCGGGCGTGCTGCGGGGCTGGGCGGCGGTGGTCGGCTCTGTGTCCGGGGACGTGTGCGCTCT